CTCCGATGATCATAATTTCCAACGTGTGAACATTGCTTCGTCTCTTTTGTGCCTTTGATTTGATTAATCATGGTCTTGGAATCTGATGTTCATGTGCATTGGATAGTTTCTATATTGGGTAATGCATAGTCATGGCTACAGTTGATTTTGGTGGAAACAGTTCCATTAGTAGCACAGAAACTGGAGAATCATTCATAGGAAGCATAATTAGCTGTCAATATTTAGTATTTAAGTTTATGGGCATCCACAGAAATTTTTCCAGGGGGGGGGGTCAAAGTAGTGTGAAATTGTGAAGTGAATAAAAAAATGTGTAAAATCATATACATATTCTGAATGAATAAAGACAGAATTATTTTTCTCGTTTTCCAGGGGCATCAAGTGTAGATTAGATGGAAATGTATTTGTTACTTATTGAAATTTGGATGTAATTGTATCTGACATTGATTGTAGGTTAGATTAAACTACACTTTACAGCCATTGTAAACTAATAGAAATGTGCCTAATACTCATTATAAGTTTTAATCAGATATACTTGAAACTGACTGTTGGTTAGGTACTATTATTCTCTACATTGCAATATACATGAAAGTGTACTATATACCAGTTTTATCCTAACATTATAGTTTTGTAACATTTCTCTATATAAATATGATAAACCTCCACTCTAGGTAATAAAAACTCAACCATGGACTAACCTCAGCCTTCAACAACCACAGCCATCATTTCATGGAAGTCTGGGATCACCTGGACGATGTAGTGTACGCATTTATACATGTGATGGATTTAATGGTGGTGGTTGTCTTCAGTTTGGTGGGTCTCCAACTAATTGGAATAACCTAGTGTTCAGGTATTAAAGTGTTTTCAGTTTTATTGTTATTTGTAATAGAATTTAGAACACACACATTGAATTAGATACCTTATATACATTATTTTCAAATGTGTCAGTTAGCTGAATTGAACCTCTGAACTTATTTCAGTTTTTATCAATCAGTATTATAGGTCTCAAGACAACCCTTTGGAAGGTCTCTGTCTTGGACCATTTTGGTCTCAATGTTTTACAGGTGTTGAAAACGAGACCAGCTAAATTTAAAAGTTTTACCAGTATTTAGACACTGACATAATCAACAAAATAAAGGAATGAAGAATATTAAGAAAAGAATATATGACAAGCTGTGACTAACAAACAAAAACACAAATAAATATGCTCAGAAACAAATTTAGAAACAATATTAAACTACTAAAAATCACAAAAATGGTACACCTTCTGTACACAAATAAACTCAAAAACAGATCCCAAAGTTTCTGGTCCCATATAAAAAAGCTACAAAGCCAAACAAAACAACTATCATCACCTACTTTACACTTAAAAATAATAATAAACTAGCATACACAAAAAAACAAAGCACACGCCTTTAAAGAACAACTCCAAAAATCATTCAAAACATCAGATGACTCAAACATGAACAACCACTTCATGAACATAGTAAATAATTATATCACAACCAATCATAATATTTATACACCACACTTCACTAAGGACACTCAATGGATTAGCACAACAACTGAAGCAGAACATGACTACACAACAAAACAACTTATCAGACCCATCACAGTAGCAGAAGTACAAGAAAACATAAAAGTTTTGAAAAACAAAGTACCAGGACAAGACAAAATTCAAAACTTTTTACTCAAGAAAGGCTCTCTGAGATTATTAGAACACATCACATCATTTTTACAACTTATCTGTAAAAACGGGAAACATACCAACCTCTTGGAAATAGGCTGATGTTCTTATGTTCCAGAAGGAAGGAAAATCAGCGAATAACCCAGAAAACTACAGACCCATAAGTCTAACAAACAATCTAGGAAAACTACTTGAAAAAATTATAAATTCATAAGTTACCTTGAATCTAAATGAATACTCCCAGAAATACAAAATAGGTTCTGAAAAGCAAGTGAAACAACAAATCATCTCATAAGATTAATGGAAAAAATAATGCATGGCTTTAATAAAAAAACAATGCAAAGTTGCATGCTTCCTAGATATTGAAAAAAGCATTAGATAAAGTATGACACAATGGACCCAGATACAAACTGTCCATATTGGAACCCCCCCATGGAAATTATGTGCTGGGTTTTTAACTTCCTAGAAGATAGAAGCATTAGAGTAAATTTTGAGGGCACCTACTTCAAGTGCTGCACTCCATAGGCAGGTGTTCCTCAAGGAGGATTACTTAGCTCTACCCAGTTTATCATGTATATCAGCAATGTGCCTCTCAAAGACGCAAACCACACAGTTCACAGATGATGTTGCAATCTGGAAGAGTGCCTCAAACCCAACAACATACAATATACAACTACTATGAAATGAAGTAGAATTATACTGCAATAAGTGGAGAATTAAAATTAATGTGCACAAAACACAAGTCATATTATTTACAGTTATATCTAGATGGGACTCTTACAGGTAGCAACATCAGCAAAATTCTTAGGGATTACATTTGACTCAAAATTAAATTGGATACCACACATTAATAGCATAAAACCAGAATTTGGGAAAAAAGTGAATTACCTTAAGAGTCTAACTGGCACCAACCAAGGAGCTTCACCAGAAAACATATTAAAAATTTACTGAACATACATTAGACCAGGTATAGAATATGCCTGTATAACATGGATCAATGTATCAAAAACACAAATCATCAAACTACAGCAAATACAAAACTATATTTTAACAAAAGCATATAGAGTCCCACAATCAACAAACCCAGTATTTCTACTATTCAAACATGCCAAGATTATCAGACAGACTTTTGGATGAATTGCTTCAATATTATAAGAAAAATATTAATAAAAATGAACTGAAGAGCAAACTAGAGAGTTACATAATACGTGATGAACAAAGCCCTAAATACCCCTCCCCACTAAACACCATAAATAAGAAATTTGCAGGCCAAACAGTGCTAGGCTAACTGAATCCTAGACACAAATGTGGCTCTATTTTAGAATGGTTTTATATGTAAAAATGGGAATATGAGTGTATCTATATGACTGCTAAGTGGAACTGTATTGTGAACACGGACTAATACTGCAATCATGCATAAGTGAAGCTAGTCAAAATATATGAGGTAATATTACCCCATGAATTGGACTTTGCATGAAATGGGCATGTTAATTAAAAACTGCAGACAATGGACAAAATTTAACATACTGTGGGTAATGCAACAACGTAAGAAAGGTTATTACCTGGGATTTAGTAACAGTGCAAACAAAGTACAATTCCTGAGAGGAAAGAAAAGGTCAACACTGAACCTGACTCTCCCTGGTCCAAAACAGTTTTGGATTCAGGAGGTCAAACCCTTTCAATTGATGTAATTGACCACATCCAAGATCTTGTAGATTAATTTACTCTAGTCCTGCCTAAAAGAATTTCAATTTGAGGCTAGGCTGGTTGAGATCCTGATGAGTAATAAATCTGAATCGAGTATACAAGCGCTCCATGCTTGGTATTGCTGGCACACAAAAATATAGCTAATAAAAAGGAAAAAAAGGTCATATAGATTAATTTACTCTAATCCTGCCTAAAAGAATTTCAAATGATGTTTGCTTAAAGGTAATGTCTAAACTAAACTCTGTGAGAGCTTCTAAAGCTCTCATAGTCTTAAACAAAGAAACTGAAAAAGAACAGAGAAGATCAGCACAGACCTATACTGAGGCTCTCCTGAAAAGTTACAAATTGCAAAATGGTTAAAGATCTAACTCTCATGGCTTTAATTATAACAATAAGCTACAAATCTGAACCACGTCCCACAGCATGTGAGCAATCATGTGTTTGTAAAGGCTGTGGCTGCCCTTAGCTATTATATGATTTGCTGACAGAAACTTTGATTTCTCTAACTATGTAATGAGTTATTTTTCACTTAAGAAAGTAAAAATGCAGCTTATTATGAACATGTTGGAATGTTTCTAAGAAAAAGGAAACTTAAGTAACTAACTTGAGTTTCTCACTATTAATGTGTAAAATTTTAAACATTGACTAAAGGTATAGAAAACACATAGTATGGTCTCTTACTACACTGTATGATATTATGCTTTCTGAATTCTGCTGTTTGTTGTAGAAAATATTTAGTTTAATTTTTAAGATTAAACTACCAAAAGAAATATGGTAATTATATCTGTTTGATTTTTAAGTACAAAAGTATTTAATGTTGTTAGAATGTCATGTATTGCCTTACATATATAACAAAAACACATTTAATACATTACAAAGCAGATTATATAATTATAAATTTTTAAGGATATTACTTATGATAAGTCATAAATTGTACTGAATTCTTAGAAATAAATAGTTTTTGCCAGAACCACTTGACATTGTCATTACTTCCACTTTATTGTTGCTAAATATTGTTTAATATTTTACTTCAACAAGATTGAAGTTCTTTATGAATCACAGGTTAAAATTCAGAGTCACTGCTGAGATGCACTTAAGAAATTATTTTATTTTTTAGATCAAGGTGGTCCAACCTTTTATCACTTGGAGGACTATAACTTGTTACTTATGACTTATTGAAATTATATTTTTCTATTAAAATTTATTTAACAAAATTTTTCAAATGCATAGATTTTTTAAACACGTGTTTCCTAATGAGAGTGCAAGCCAATTACACTCAGTTGTGGGGCTTGATGCAGCCTGTAGGCCACCATCAGTTAGATCAATTTAATGAATCAGTTAATTTAGTGTTGACAGTTTGGAGTTTTGGTTAATGTTTTGTTAACCAACAACTTAGATAAAGTTTGTTTATATAAGTTAATGTAAACATAATTTTATATCATTGTATTACTATTAACTAAACAGAAATAATGAGTATGGTTTGCTTATCTTTTAAGTAAGAAAGATAGAAGAATGGTAACAAGTATAAATCAATAAATGGACAGTATTATATTAGTTTTGAGATGGATATTTTTTAAATAAAATTAGAAATAACCTAACAGTTTACATTAATTTATTTACTGTTTTTGAATTTGTTATATTTCACATCACATAAATTTTAATCTTTATAGTGATTAAAACTGTTTGTGTTTTTTCTTTTTATAGAATTTTCGTCTGTAAGTTTCCAGTCAGTGAAGATGTTCTTATTACATATACTTATAAGTCATTAGTTCCCAGTACTATCTCACTTTATCTTCAGCTGACCTTAATGTCTTCTGCAGGAGAACGTTGTACTGTTACTATTGGGGCAGAGAATAAAAGTGACATACATGAAGCAAAGAAAAAGAAAACTGAAAACATTATTCAGAGATTAAGTCGGGAAGAGCTGAAAAACTGTACGAAGTTTTCTGACCTTCCTGATGAAACAGAGGAAGGTTGGACGACTATGTTAGTATTATTTTTATTTCAACTTAAATGTGACCTAGTTATATATATATATATGAGGAATTGGAAATTTCTTGGCTTCACAGTTTGGGAATTGTTAAAACTTGATATTGGAGTAAAAAAAAAAATCCATCAAAGTTGACTTTATCTGATGATTTTGCTCAACTCTTACATATAATTTACACTTCTTAGGACACAGATCTGTTAGGAAAATATTCATGTAAAAGAGACTTATGAATTTCTTCAAAATATATGCTTAGATAATCATATGGTCATACCAGATGTTCTTTAACCTATCTTAAGTTTAGGTAGCAAAGAAATCATCATTTTTAAAATCACTTGAAACTCATTTTTCTGTTTGACATTCAGAAAACCAGGTTTGGTATAAAATTGCATTGTCATTGTATGCTGCAACATGATTAAATTAATTTATTATCATTGACTTATTGAAAGTGTCAGTATTCTTTTGTAAGTTTTAATTCAGTTATTACAGGCGTATTGGTGTAATAGTTTAAAATAGTAACAACTAGACAGAAGAAAAAGGGTGTATTATATTATTAAGTGTAAATTAGGTCTAAAATAAAATCTACTTCACACTCCTTAATGCAGTGTAGGCCTAGATGATGGTTTATTAGCTTTTAGTCCTTCTGTTAAAAGAAAGAATTCAGTTAAATTGAGTATTTAATTCCCCCAAAAATATGCAAGTATATGTTCTAATTTACCATTATGTAGATTTAATGAAACATGAAGGTAAATTTAACAGTAATATTATGACTCTTTCGTACAGATAATCTAAAAGTATTTTCAAACAAGTGCATGTAGATGTATTGTAGAAATGTGTAAAACTGTTTGATTTATGATATTGGTATAGGCAAACACTGATACCAACATATATGTTTTAATTGTATATGTTTGAAGCCAAGTTGTGGAAGTTTTATATTTGTTTAGTATCACCTTTTGTTTAATCTGAAATGGTTAAATCACAAGGTATGATTGAGTGATGAAATGTTAGTCTACCTGTTGTTTGAAAGAGGATGTTGAAGGTCCAGGGTTCACCCTCTGTTCTCACTTCTGTAGCTCTCACACATGTTTTATTTCTGTAGTCTACACTATTTTCTTGTATCTAATTGGTTAGCACAACAATTTTGTTTTCTTCAAGGAGGCAGCCAAAAGAGTGAAAAAATAATAATTTGTTTGAGGCATTATGGTAGGGCGTATGTTGATTCTTGCCAAGTTTGTAATTTGCTAAATATTTTTTAGTCTTTGTAACAGTGTTCTTAATATGGTGCACCTTTTTTTTTTATCTAACATGGTGAATGTGGTGGCTATGGAAAAATAGCATTCTATCAACATCTTTACATTAATGTGCTAGTTATATACATCATTCAGAAGTTAAAACTGCTTCTGTAGTCCCAATGACACACATATTAAACATGATATTCTCATTTCACAGGTTATTCTATAACTTTTTTTAAAATTAACAAGCATATAAAACAATATATTTCTATTTTTTTAATTACGTAATCAACCATCAGTATGGGAGAAATGAGTAAGCCTTGGAATGGAGTTGCAGAAGATCAAAATGAGAACAATTAAAGCTGTACTTTTTAGCAATATTAGGAAGTGACCAGATTATGATAACGTTATTGTTCTAAAGAAAAATAAGTATTGTAAATTGTGTTTATATGTCACAAAGATCTTCAACACTTTTACAACAGATTATGCTATTGAAATTTGAATTGATCAAACAGGATAAAGGTGAAGTAAAACTGCTTAATGTAAAATGAAGCAATTAAAATAGAAAATGACTAATTTATTAAATATTTTAAAAATGCCTAAATGTAAAGACAATACTTCATACAATATACATCAACATACATTATACTTAATCAACTGGATTCATTGCAGTTCTCTTATTTTATGCTCATTTTTTTACTAGAGCCATACTGTAATGTACAATAAAGTTGAATGGTGTACTAAATGTTTTTTAAGGCAGTGACTAGAAATCACAATGTTACCTCTACTTGAATGTTCTATATCTCCTATGGAAATTAAATTTGGGAATGAATATTTGTTTGATTTAAGGGAATTAATAAATATCCAATGTTTTAGCTCTTCAGTAAGTGTTTTATTATTTATTATAGGGAAAAGTTATTTCACAAACACAGATGCCCAATTAAAGTATTAATTACAAACTCATTATCATGGCAACAGTTTTGTAAAAGTTATGAAAAAAAAATATTTAGTGGAATAAAATTTGGTATTTATTAGAAACATCTTGAGATGGTTCCTTTCAGTTTCATACATCTTTTAGGTTTATTCACTATTACATAGTTGCTGGAGAGTGGGGGTGTTTAAAAAAACTCTTTCATTGTTCACTCACTTCAGTTGGCTTATGCTTATTTCTGTAATCAAACTCAGATAGATAAAATGCATAACAGCAGTGAATATATATTGTGTCTATTTTATATACATAAAAATCTTATAAATTTATAGAAATTATTTTTGTACTTAACAGATAGGTAATGCAATTGTTTACTTTTAGTCTATAGAAATCCAGCTTTACTTGAACAATGGGAATGATATGGTATACTGTAAATATATTTGCTTTTTACTTGTGCTTAGATCCAGTTAATTTAAAATTATTTATTTTTCATTCATTTTAGATTCTCTGTGCTAAGTTATTTAGAATTTCAAAGTCATACAATTGAGGAAATAGGTGTGAAAATAGCTCTACCAGAGAAATCAGTTAAACCAAACCTAGAACTTCTACTTGGGCAAATACAAGTAAGTTGGTTCCAACTAAATAATCACCTTACATTTTATCTTCTTACAAAACAAGAACTAAAGTAATTAAATTGTTGATGTACTGGCTAAAGTTTAATATTTTAGAACTTTGTTACTTATGGAAAAGGCCCTTGGTGACTCACCAGCTAGGTTGAGGGCTTAAAACGGTAAAAATCGAGATTTTATCATTGAGGTAGTCACAGTATAGATAACTGCTTGTGCAGCTTTGTGCTTGATAACAAACTAAACTTATGGAACATTGTTATAAATTTTAAATGTTGCTCCCAGTTATTAAATTTTGGTAACAGATATGGCACTTAGTATGTGATCAATATGTCTTTCTGAAATTGATTTTTTTTTAGTATCATTGTATATCACACCATTTCAGAAGAATATCTTGACACATACAATGAAAAATGCTTCTCAAAGGAGTTAGTGTCTTGAAACATAGTACAGTTTAATTAAAGTCATCATACATGTAAGAAAAACTATTTAAATACAAATACTTAGAATAAAAAACTACAGAAACTACTCTATGAGAAACTCTACTTTACATATTTACCAGTTTTTTCAACAGATTAATTATTTAGTTGAAAACTGAAAATTAATAATATATTCAGAGTGTAGTACAAAACTTGTTTCCCATAGATATTTACCAACTTATACTGCCCTCTATCAGTGCAAATTTTCACTCGCCACTAGCTTTGATACTCACACTTATTTCTGCATACTAACAAATGCAAATTATTATTCAGGAACCTTCCACCAATAGCAGTGCGACACTACCCCTATCATAACTAACACCCTCTCTAATCTTGCAGCTGTTAAAAGGGGAACATCTTCTCACTGGCCCTCCACCAGTTCAGAATGGGATTCTAGCTTTTTGTGAGTGGAAGTAAGGTATTGTATCATTTTCTTAAACTGAAAATGTATTACCAATAGATACTTATCTCCGCTCACATTTCCCACCTGTCCTCCCCACTTTCAGTGTGGCTTGGTGTGATCTGACCAATCTCAAAGTGGCTAACAGCTGCAAGATTAGAGAGGGTGCTAGTTACAATATGGGTAGTGTCACACTGCTATTGGTGGAGAGTTGCTGAATAATCATTTGCATGTTAGAATGCAGAAATAAGTGGGAGTATCAAGACTAGTGGTGAGCAAAAATTTTCACTGATAGAGGGCAGTATAAGTCAGGAAAGCATTTTGTGAGAGGAGGAGGTAAGATTTGCAAGTACAAAGAAACTACTTGATATGGACTTTAGTAGAAACATCCAGCTGGAGATACATTGGAAGTTTGTTATACCCCTGGAAGAACCATGGTCTTAGATTATCATCATATCTTTAAAAAGACTATCTGTTAATGCATTTATAACATTTTTCATCATCATTTACTACTTATCCTGCTTTTGTTTTTAGAAAGTTTTAGAAAGTCAAATATTTTTAGAGATAATTATTTCTGTGATGCAAAATACCAATTTTTGAAAATGGAGAAATGAAGTATATTCTTACCAAAACCCAACTGACTCTGAGGCATTAGGTACTGTAGTGGATGAACCACATTATTTGGTGCATTAACAGTTGTATATGCCAGTGTTAGGCACTATACTACTGGAAATCGGGCTTTTTCTCTTTCCAGTATCCTATAATTGCCATGAAAAATATCAAGTTCAGGGTGTTTAATATTTTCCAGTACACACTTCTCTTACAGAAGCTGTCGTTTTTACTTACTGTTAGCTTTGTATTAAGAAATTTTATTTCTCCTTTATTAAAATGGTTGTTTTTCGTAACTGAATGTGGCTAAGTTAATAGCTGAACAGTCAATACAATTTTAATTGTTTTTCATAGTGGATTCATTCAATTTGTTCTTGGAACAATTCACTTTTTTCTGTCTTTCTGAATTTTCTCTACATGCAAAATCTTGTTTTGCTTGTAACTTGTTATTTTGAGTTCAACCCAAGTAATGTGAAGGAATTTGTGTACTGAATAATACATATAAGCAGACATTTGAAATTCCCAATTTCCTTTTTCTAGAACATCCAACAATATATCGTAGTACTTCAATCAAAATTATGCCATTGTTAGTCCCTAATACATATACACATTTATCTGATGTCACATCTCATACCTAAACCTTGCACCTCATCACTCTCCAACCTTGATTTGAAATTTATTTAACATCTCAAAAAGTGTCTTAGCCATTTGGACCTCCAGTATTTAAGTTTTATGTCAATATAGAGAAGTCTTAGGCATTTAGTAATGCTTTTCAATACTTTTTACCTAAATTTTAGAAATGCTGAAAACCTAACAGCATTATTTATGTTTAAGATGAAAAGATAGGATTATTTCTTAATAAAGGAAGATTTTAGTTCATGCCAAGTGTTTTGCATAATGAATATTTTAGCAATCTCACCTAGACTGAGTTTTACTTACAGGAAGAATAAACAAGATTTCTAGGTTTTTAAAAGCTTAATTAGATGATAATTATAGTATTTTGGCACTTGTGTATAAAGTTAAAATCACAAATAATATTCAACGTTAAACTGGTACACAATTAAAAACATTTTATTTAGGCTTATCTATGGCCTAAATAAAATGTTTTTAATTGTGT